AAAATGAAGAAAGAAGAAAAAGAAAGAAGGTAGAACAGGGAAAAAACAGAGATAAGAGAGAAGGAAAAGAAAGGAAAAAACATGCATCACCGACCATCTTGGTGGCGAGATGGTGGCCGGAGTTCAAAGGAGGACGGAAATGGATGGGTCAGCTGTGGGTTTCTACAATTTTCAAACATGAGAAGCCTAAGGAGTGCTTTCACATAACCCCTAGTTTGGGGAGAAGCCATTTATAGGGATTTTTCACCTTCAGCTTTCCTATTCTCGGTCTAAAACAGTAGTTTTCAGTTCGTGGGTATGAAGTGAAGAAAGTCTTTTAATTTTATCCTCTTTTTTTAAAAAAATGTACTGCACCTTTAATTTCTCTGAAAGGTGCTGAGGCGCGCCTCTCGCCACGTGAAAAGGCGAGCCAAGGCGACCTGAAGCGAGCGCCTCGCGAACAGGGTCGCCTCAGGCAGTGGCGAGGCGATGTAGCCCTCGCCTCGGTCGCCTCACCTCGAGGCGTCGCCATGGCGTCGCCATTTTAAACTATGGACTGAACAATAACATTTTAAATTACAGCACATAAATTGCAGCAAAATTTTGAATTACATGACTTAAATTGCAAATAGAAAATCTAGGAATTTAGGAATTCATTGAAATTGCAGCAAAATTTTAAATTACAGCACTGAAATTGCAAAAAAAAAAGAAAAAATTAAATTTATAGGACTTCAATTGTTGCAACAAAATATTAAATCACATAACCGAAAAGCCAAATGTGTTGCAACCTTGGGGTTAAAATTGTTGCAGCATTAAACCAACAGGATTAAAAATGCAATTTTGCCTTTATCTTTCCAGTATAAACATGTTAATTTGTAACGACCGATAAAGACCATAATGTTGTAGTCCATGAATTTCGAATTTGTGATGCCAGGGAAGATGACAAATGGTGGGTTTTGCCTACAATTCTGCTTTTATTCAAGGCGGTTCAGGCTCGACTGGTCGATTGGAACATTGCAAATTTAGAAGTCAAAGACTTCTCTCTTTTCAGTCCTGATCCTGATACTTTCTGGGCATATGAGCCTCTCTCTTAACAAATACAAATCATCTTTCCTTGTGCTGTTGATGGATAAATCATTTTCTTTTTTTTTTTTTTTTTTCATTGAGCAGCAAAATAGACATCACATTGTACATATATATGATGTAAATATTCACATTTCTGCCTAAAAACGCGAATGTTCGTGTATATAGTTTGAAGGCGCGCGGTCGATTTATGGTAGTCTGAGTGAGATATTTGAGAAACTATTTAGGAAGAAAGGGTGTAGAGATTTGTTTTATGAGATTATGTGATGCAGGCGTTATTATTGTTGAATTTTTTTATTTTTATTTTTTTGTGCAGTTAAATTTTGTTAAATGAATTTGCCGGAAAAAAAATGTTGAATATTTTTAATTTCATTTTATCTGATATAAAATATTTATCTCTATATACAAATTACAAAGATAGCAGTTTTTGAGTTTATATGATCAAATTTGGTGCTTAGGCAATCTCATGTGAGTTAGTGGTGATTTAAAATCCTATTATCTGGTATGTAACTGCAGGTCATTTTTTTTTTTATCTTTCAAATTATAAAATACTTATCTAGTTTAAATTAAATGTATACATTTTTATCTTTTAATTTATAAAGCACTTGTTTAATTTAAATTATAAATATGTTTTATACTTTATAACTTAGTATAAGTTTTTTTTTCCATGAATCCGTCATCTCTTGATGATAAAATAAAAAGTGATTGTACATACTTAATCTACCAATCATAGTTGGAAAATAACAAATTTATTATTTATCAACTAAATAATATTATTTATTATATTATATAAGTTAGAAAAGTTACTAGGACAACGAATTTTTACATACTGCCATTTTAAACAAAAATGATAAACTGAGTTCTTAATAAGTCAATGAAAACTAAAATATAAGGAAATGAGTGACTGCCTAGGGCGGGCCGGTATTAATATTTTTTTTTTTTTAATTTCTCCCTGTATATTAATCAAAACCCTATATATTAATTCAAAACGTGTTGAATCTAAGTGGCAGCTTCTCATGTTTCGGATGCTGACAGGCGAAAATCTATACTTCGTGATGTTGTCTTTATATTATTTTTGTTTTAGAGTTAGATTTGGTATTAGACATCAATATATATTTATTTCATAACACTACTGCCCTTAGTTAGCCCATATGGTTTGAAACTACAAATTAGAGAAATGTTTGGAAAACTTTTAGATATAAGTATTATATGGTCCCGTTACAAAACCATTTCGTCGGGATTTATAGCTCTTACTTAGATCACCTGATGGTTGAATAAGTTACATGATGATCTAACGGTTACAAATTCTGACATAATGATTCCGTAACATGACTCATCATTTTCCTAAGTTACTAATTGAAAGAATATCACAAATTTGAATATTTTATTTGAATTAATTTACAAAAATATAAAAATACTATACGTGCAAAAATCCTCGAAAATTAAACCAAAATCACCACTTATATATACAAGCCCTCAAAAGCTAAG